TGCTAGCCGGAGTTAAACCACAATGGCCTGCCAACTTAACTCTCAGCCAGAATACAGCATATATTGTTTCCTGATAATGGTTTTTTTTTTCCCCAAGTAACAAAGGAGTGAAGACATGACATCTACATGTTGTTAGAAAAATAGTAGAACAAAATTGTTGATAACGAGGCTCTGGCAGACACATTTTATGTATTTGTATCAGAAATGGTGTGGCCAGTGGAACGAAGAAAGTGATCACCCCTCTGTACTGGGCACTGGGGAGGCCACACCTCAAATATTGTGTTCAGTTTTGGGCCTCTCACTACAAGAAAGACATTGAGGTGCTGGAGCATGTCCAGAGAAAGGCACCGGAGCTGTGGAAGGATCTGGAATACAAGTGCTGTGAGGAGCGGCTGAGGAAGCTGGGGTTGTTCATCCTGCAGAAGAGGAGGCTGAGGGGAGACCTTAGCACTCTCTGCAGCTACCTAAAAGGAGGTTGTAGGCAATGTGGGTGTTGGTCTCTTCTCCCAGGTAACACTGAAAGGGTTGTCAGGCATTGGAACAGGGTGCCCAAGGAAGTGGTTGAGTCACCAACCCTGGGAGTATTTACAAGATGTGTAGATGTGGTACTCAGGGACATACCTTAGTGGCAGACTTGGCAGTGTTAGATTAACAGTTGGACTTGATGATCTTTAAGGTCTTTTCCAACATACATGCTTCTATATGTGGTTTGGAAGATTTCATCTGGATCAGTGTTAGTGTATTCCCCTTGGCTAAGTGCCTCCACTGTATGGGAACCATTAGGTGCATAACGGACAGACTTCTGTCCCAACACATTAATTCAGAACCTAATGTCCCCAGTGAGTGTTGAAGTATATTTGATAAAATAGTTTGGGTTGGAAGGGACCTTTAAGGATAACTTAGTCCAGCCCCCCTGCTGTGGGCAAGGACATCTTTCACGAGATGAGGTTGCTCAATGCCCTGTCCAACCTATTCTCGAACACTTTTGGTGATAGGGCATCCATAGCTCTTCCGTGCAACTGTTCCAGTGTCTTCCCACCTTCACTGTAAGAAATTTATTCCTTGTGTCCAATCTAAATACAACCTCTTTCAATTTAAAACCATTGCCCCTTTCCCTGTCACTACAGGCTGTGGTAAAAAGTGTCTCTCCATCTTTCTTACAAGCCCCCTTTATGCCCCCTTTATATATTAAAAGGCTGCAGTAAGATCTCCCCAGAGCCTTGTCTTCTCCAGGCTGAACAACTTCAACTCTCAGACTGTCTTCGTAGGAGAGGTGTTCCAGCCTTCTGTCACTTTTTTGTGGTCTTCCTCTGGACCTGCTTTAACAGGCCCATGTCTGTCTTGTACTGAGGACTCCACAGCTGGATGCAGTACTCCAGGTGTGATCTCACCAGAGTGGAGTAGAGGGGTACAATCACCTCTCTTGAACTGCTGGTCCTGCTTCTTTTAATGCAGCCTGGGATACGGTTGGCTGGCTGGGCTGCAAGCGCACATTGCTGGCTTATGTCCAGTCCAGTTTTGTACCTCCCAGTATTCTCAAGTCTTTGGCAGGGCTGCTCTCAATCCATTCATCCCCCAGTCTGTATTGATTCTGAGAATTGCCCTGACCCAGGTCAAAGACAGTGTCCTTGGCCTTGTTGGGCTTCATCATGTGGGCCTGTGCCTCAAGCTTGTCCCTTCCCTAGCTTATCGACTGCACCACTCAGCTTGGGGTTACTTGTAAACTTGCCGAGGGTGCACTAACCCCCACTGTCTATGTCATTGATGGAGGTATCAGTCCCAGTATGGACCCTTGAGGGACACAGACCCATTACTGGTTTCCACTTGGACATTGAGCCGTTAACTGTAATTCTTTGGACATAACCATCCAGCCAATTCCTTATCCATCAAATCCATGTCTCTAACTGAGTGGCAAGAATGTCGTCAGGGACCATATCAAAGGTCTTGGAGAAGCCCAGGTGGATGAAAACAAGTCCGTGTAGCTGAGTTGCAAGTGCTTTTGGACTGGAATGTGGGTTTTGTTTCTCTGAATGGAATCTAGTTTTTGTGGATCAGAACTGCACCAAAACCAACACCTAGTAAACTGAGGACGCAATTCAGAGTTGCCCTGATGTGAACCAGGTTATTAATACAGATCTAGCTGAATATGTTTCAAGAGCTGCACACCTCTGTAAAACTTTACTACTGTCTTCCTCTCCACCTCTGCCCCAAGTTGCGATGATACAGTTTTTCCAGCTTTTTTTAAAAGACATCATTTTGTTGAGCCATTTTTGCCAGATGGCTCCACAAATAAATATATTGGTGCAAATGAGGTTAAGGAACAATTTTATAGCAGTTTAGAGCAAGAAGGATTGAGAAAGAATGGGAACACCCTGAACAGGGGTTTCAAGAAGAAATTGAACATGAAACTGTATAGTCTCATAAACTTGGCTGTTAAAGAACTGCAGCTAGGGACCTGAACGATGAAGACGTAAGGGCAGTGAGGCATGGAAACTCATCAGGACTCAACTCAGCAAGTGATACACCTGTTCAGTTCAAGGACATGAAAACCAGATTTTACAGATCCTTTGTAGAGAATATAAAGTGGAGGATATAACATGGTTAAAAAAAGAGATGTAAAGAAAAATCACAATATAAAAATGGATGTCTGTGAAGGTGTGATGTGGAAGAAGCAAAAGCAAAAAAAGGAAAGCCAAGAAGATCTTCAGATGTTCTGATGGTATGTTTATGGAAGGAGAAATGCAACAAAGGATGTCAGTTTTTAGGGAGGCTGTCTGAAGCCTGAAGATACTAAGGAAATACTGAAATAATCACACCAGAAAATGATCTTCTGCTTGCTAAGGAACATATGTTGTTGGTGGCTGTAGCAAGGGTTCTTGGAATTTTGTCCCTAAAAATAATTTTAAAACCATGCAACAGTCTGTTGTTAATAAAATGCTCTTGGGGAAAGAGAGGACTTTATAAAACACTATTAGGAAAGGGTGTCTTCTGTTTAATGAATTATTATGGACCAAGAAAACATCCCCTAAGAATAAGGTATGGCCAGTTGCTGAAGTCCATAGGTTAATGATTTTGTTATCTGAAGTTACAGAAGTTAAAATCATGTTTCTTATATTTGGGTTTTAATATTAGTAGTAATAGCACTCCAGGAATACGCTGAGTTACTGCAGTAAGATATTCAATGCTTCAGTATTTTTGTTTAGTTATAATAAATGCTGTATTTACTCTTTACTTAGAAGTAGTAGCACAAATATACCAAATAGAGTAATATTTATGCAGGTGTTCATTATTCAGTAACAGTTCTGGATGCTGGGGAATGAAAAGCTTGAAGGTAAGTCCCAAGTGCTGTGACAGTATTTGGGATAGCTGACACATACAGTTGAAAATAGGTATAATTTTTTTTATAATGGAAAGAAGTTCCTATTCACGTTTTAATTCATGCTTAAATAATATATAATTCTTGGCATTCTTCAGCAGCTCAACATTCTTGAATTCTGGTGGTAATTATTTAGAATGAAAACTTAAATTCCAGAGAAAAGCCTAGAAAGTACATTATACTGGGAGATTCTCCTCCCCC